GCCGCCACCCTTTTTTTTCCCTTTGGGCTGTAGGCCCGCAGCACGGAATTTTTTTTTTTGAGGTTTTTGGGGGGTGGCGCTGAGGGGGCCCGGGTACGTGGCCGGGTGGGTTGCACGGCCGGGCGTCCCGGCTGGAAAGCTAGCCTCCTACCAAACATGCAAACACGTCACTGTTTTCTCCCGCCTGTCTGCCTCTCTTCCCCCTCTCTCCTCTCCTCCCTCCTCTACTCCCTCCTCTCCTCCCCTCTCTCCTCCCCTCTCCTGCCCTCCCCTCTCCTCTCCTCCCCTCTCTCTCCCCCCGTCCTTTTCTTTTCCCCGATCCATGTCTTGCCGTCTCTTTCTTTCTTTCTTTCTTCCTTTCCCTTCTACTTTCCCTTCACCGTTTTCTTCTCGTATTCTCATTTGAATTCTTGTGTTCATTTCTCACCCTTCTTTTTTTTGTTTTTTCTGTTTTGGTTGTTAGTGTTTCTGATCTGCTTGCTGCAGGTGATCAAAATCAGAGTGATGGATGACACAAACGCTGTTGATGATGATGACGCCAAACGCTGTTTCACCCGTCCGTGCTACAGAGCGGGAAGGAAGGAGACCAGTGTGGCAGTGTACACCGTTAACCAGGAGTCGAGGTAGGGCGGGGAGCGGGGGGCAGGGAAGGGGGGAACATTTTTTTGTACAGCGCAACGATTAATAAAAATGTTGGACCAATGATTTTTTTTAAAAATAGAGTTCGTGATCCTTTTGTGTTCGCAAATTATAATTTTGAGGGAGGGGAGAGTGAATGCACAGAAGATCAATCAATCGTGTTGTGGGTGTGGAGGGATTGTCATTGGGTTTAGGGTTTATGCAAAGTTAATTTATGGTTTAGGGTCTAGGGAATTCTATTTTGCTTTTATTTTCCATCAGAGGAGGCTGATGGGTGATGATGGAAACCGTCCGGGTTGGTGTGATAGATTGAATCAATTGATTGAATTTGTATTAAATTGAAATGAACGCAGTTTAATTGAATTGAATTGGATTGGATTGGATTCAATTAATGGATTTGAAGTTGAAGTGGCTTGACTTGACTTGAATTGAATCGAACTGATTGATTAATTGGCGTTGTCCATGGTACCACCAGCTGGCCTAGCTCAGTTGGTACTGTTATGATCCTGGTTGCTTGTTGTCAGAAGACCCACACTCGCTCACATAGACTTCCAGGTATGCCCATACATACACAGAAGGAAGGGGAGAGGATGGGAGTATCACACCGCACAGGGAGATCAAAAGTTTATTAAAACACAGCGGAAGACTTAACCATGCGATATGACAGAGTACACTGAAAGTGCAATTCACTCCACAGAATCCTCACAACCAGTCACAAAGGAAAGCGGAGTAGATCACATCCAGAAAACAATGAAGCAAAGATAGTTCAGACACAGTATCCACACTGTTTATTAAACTCAGAGTCTCTATTTGTCAGAATAACCCCAGAACTGTGATGCGCTGCTCAGAAATGAGCAGCGCTTCTTTCCCCAACCCTGAGTAACCGCTATCACTACCCGTGAGCCCCTGAAACAACCAGTGCCACCCAGATACTGCCTCCAGAAGGGAAGCGCCACCCTGAAACAGGCCTTTGAGGCCAAGAGCCTCTCAGAGGATGAAGAAGAAGACCAGCGCCACAGTCTCTGATGATGATGAAGTACCAGAAGACTTCCCGGATGGAAATCTGTAGCAGCGCCACCCTCTCCTGACAAAGATGATCTCTGAGGATGAAAGCTGCGGCTATGGCTGCAGCGCCACACACCCTGACAGCCTATTCCTGAGGAGGGTTCATCAGGGCACCAACTTCTCTTGCCTCCAGCAGACTTCAGATAGCCAGGGCCTCTGAACAGCCCCGCGTGCTGTCAGAGAGCAGCGTAGGTCCCAGCTATGGCCGACGCTTCGAAGGTCCGGCTATGTCTGTCTCCACCAACGCTGAAGCTGTACCACCACCAGTTCATGCGTTGCGCAGCCGTGATGTACACGGTACCAACTGCCAAAAGCCCCGAACAGTTTTCCCTACACCTATTCCTAGTCTACCCTAGCCTAGACACGACCTAGACTGGACTGACTGGACTCACCGGTACTGATTCAGTTCGGCCTCCAGGGCCTCTCCCTACCCGGCTATAGGCTATAGGACCGTCTAGCAGTATAGGCCCATAGGCCCTTCTGTCCTAGTGGTAGCCCGGGTCTGCTATTCGCAGTTAGGGTAGCTGTAGGATATTCAAGTTAGTACGGGCCTGCAATTTTCCCAAATTTACAGATATGTCCCTCACGAATTTTCCCACAGGCAGATCTCTCGGTTAGCCCTCAGCCAAACAGAAATGGTGAATCTATCCTATCTATGTTACAGCCTCGGGTCGACGGGTTGGCTGCAGAATCAGCAAGTCATTGCAGTACGCCCCTGAGCTGTTGAAAAAATACAGACCCGAGTTTGAACTCCAATTGCAATAAACGAGTACAATACTATATACTACAAATCATACCAAGGCGCGGTCAGTTGCATGATGATATCTCAAGGCCGTAGCCCTTTAAAGAAAGGATTAAGAAAAAAAATGGCGTTGTCCATGATCGCGCTTTTTAGATGCACCAGAGGGCAGTGCTTTTCACTGCTGCCATGCCACTGGCCTTATCATGGGATGTGGGTCGATGCGCTCCTGATCTTGGCACCTGCAATCAGACTCGTTTTCTTTTCACTTCGCATGCATACAAACAGATGGCAAAGCAACACTGGCACCAGGCACCCACACAAAGCTCAGAGATATTAAGGCCGCGAACACAGTTCAGATGCAAACTCTCTTCAAACTGGCTATGGCGCCTGAGCGCCTACACCTCTCACCACCGACACTGTATTCACACAACCGTTCACATGCACTCCACGCTAGATCTCCCTGGATATCCCACGCACACACACTCTGTATCGCACACACATACACACACGCGCACTACCACCTATCACCAGCTACGGCAGCTATGGCCGCCAGCTACCACTCCCTACAAGCAGCGATGGCTGCTCTATCTCTTCCTCGGCCCACTTCAACTTCGGGCATCTGCAGACCACCTCGCACAAGACGCCTGGGCAGCGCTTCCGCATGGCTCACGCAGAAATGAATGAATGGCTGGACGCTGCCTCTTGATTTATACTTCTGTTGGTCGCTGGTCTGCCCCTTTTCCACCGGCCCATGGTGCACACAGTCCCACATAGTACTTGCTGACTGGACAAAGTGAGACTGGGACTGGGTACTGCTGACTAAGCAAAGTTGGACTACCCACTTGCCCACTTGCCTCTGGCCTAACGTGAGCAACACTCGAAAGGCCACTTCCGGACCTTCCGGAAGNACTTCCGGACCTTCCGGAAGTCTGTGGACTTGGCCTTTCGGAGCTGTAGCAGCTACGACCTTGACCTTTCCGGACTGTAGCAGCTACGACCTTGACCTTTCAGAGTTGCAACACCTATGACCTCTACACAGCTATGACCCCTACTCGACAGACCTACGGTTCAAGACCCGACACCTACACAGACCTATGACAGACAACAGTCAACTATCAAAACACAGGTCACGGGTTCAAAACACACAAGGGTCGACTTGATACTGTACACGGGTGAGGTAAGGTCTAGGGATCGAGAACTGGGATCTGCATCTGTTACTGCAAAGGTGAAAACCGTTTCACACCAGAGCACGTGGGCATATCCTTGTTTTTTTTTTTTTTTTTTTCCGGCAGTTACTGTAGGTAATACAACCATTATGTTCGCTGAAAGCCGGAGTGCAACGAACCTCCTAGTTCACTACCAGTGAGTGCACACAATCACACACCATGCATGAATAAGATCACACGAAGCTCGCACTGGAGGCCAGAGAAACGAAGACCAGGTAAGTGCAGCTTGAAGTTTAGAGTTCCAACAAATTATCATACAAGCAATTAAGAGTTTCAGTCACAGGTGCTCAACAGCGCAAACCTATCCAGTATCTCCACTCAGGTATGTAACTCCTCCGAAGCTCTTCTCTCTTCTCCCTTGGTCTTCTCCCTGTCTACTACCTCCCTGAGTCCCTGTATCTTCTCTTCCTACTTGCATGCACTCGCACACCTCCTACTATTCAAGGACCTACTCTGGATACACCCACTGCTAACTCTGCTAACCCCTCTGAAGTCTACTACTAACTACTAGCACTGGCGCAGCTATGGCTGCTTTCCCTCGACCAGTGCTGGGCGGCTATCGCTGCTCTCTCTCTCTCTCCCTCACTAGCGGAGCTCTCTGGCTCAGTGGTCCGCCCCTCACAATAGCGCACAAGTGCACCAGCACTTCCACACTACATGCGAATGAGCAATCTCTGAATGAGGAGGCTGGCCAGTCCTTATATTGCCTTGGACCGAGCTTCAGCTCTTCCCAGTCTCTGCGTCTTGGGGCTTGACTTGGTTCCAGTACCAAATCCCCACGGCCTGTCTGCTTTTGAATGTCAGGGCCTGGAACCTTCCCGAATTTCATTGGTGTGCTGCTGCTTGGGCCTTTGAGTCACGACTTTTCGATTATGACACATGGTTTTGACTGTGGACTGTGACTCCTGCCTCTGGGTCATGACTCTTGCCTATGGATTTGCCCTTTGTTCGTGGGATGTGACTTTCCAACATGACTTTTCATTATGAGACAATGATTTTGCCCCTAAGATGTGACTGTTTGCCGGGTGCCTGTTGGACTTGACTGCTTAGGTACCCGACTGTGACTTTTCTGAAACTGACTGACTCGGCCTTTCTTGGCCAGGGCGTCTGACCCTGAAACTCGAATTTGGGGTCTGAATCGTGGAAGGCCTTTCAGGAGGAGCAGTGTGATATTTCGACCTCCTTCCTAAACCTGAAAGAGAAAGAAAAGGGGAGAAAAGGGTAATTCAATTAATGGAATTGGCTTGAGTTGGATTGAAGTGAACTGATTGATTAATTGAGTCGTCTGATTTTTGATTGATTGAGTGCAGTGGCTCCTATCTCATAGGGCGTTGTCCATGATCGTGCCCTTTGGACACACGAAGGGGCAATGCTGTTCACTGCTGCCATGCCGCTGGCCATATCATCGGATGGGTCAATCTGCTCCTGATCTAAACCTGAAAAAAACGAAAGAAAAAGGGGAGAAAAGGGAAATGACCCATGAGGGGAGTAATAGAGAATAGGGAAGGAAAGGGAGACGATGTATGACGGAGAAAAGGAATTTAAGAGACCAACAAAAAGTCCAAACTACAAGAATGAATGCAAGGATTGGGAAGCAATCCCTTCTCTGAAGATTGCAGATCGAGCGGAGAGACACTCTTGCCACTTACGCTGCACTTTTCGCTAGGGTGGCTGGGTGGAGTGGGGGTTCCCACTTGACTACCCTGGATCCGTTCGACATAACCACAGTAGCCCCATAAGAAGGTACCTGGATGTGGCCACGTCCCAGTGGATGGAGGAGAGAGGAGGAGAGGTGCCATGTGTAGCGGAGATTCGCAGCACAGCAGGACGCAACGAAGAAGAAGAGGAATGATCTGCTTCCTAATTGCAGCAGTGAACTCTTGACCGAGGAGCCAGTAGCTGAAAGTTATGGGACATTGAGTTGCTTAAGCCATGTTGTGAACGCTCTGGTTTGACACATAGAAATATCAGGCGCCTTCGCTCGTGGCAAGATCCCTTCCCTTCTTTGCCCTCTCCGCCCATCTATCTATCTGTCTATCTCTGTCTGTCTTTCTGT